CTTAAAAATTATACTTATAGGCATAATTTAAATAATATAATTAAACATATAGGTGTTTTATAAAGAATGCAGCTTTTGAAATGCTGAGTAATTTTTTGTTGTTAGGTTATTGGAACTGTTCTTATAATTTCAGTTTGCTATGGTTGTAGAGGTTTTTTAGTAATTCATCAATATATTGTATATTTTGTTTATTTGTCGTCATGGAGTAATACAATCGAGCAACGTATTTTGTTGATTAAAATCCATCATCCAATCAATAATTAATGTAATAACTAAAGTATATTATAACATATATACAAATAAATTATTATGAAAATTGTATGTTAATAAGTGTGATGCAAAAATATTAACTTAAAAAAAACAGTAGTTTAAACCAAAAATGTTACTGTTTTTAAATAAATTTACTCGCCTGCAAATTTTCATCAAATTTGATATAGTCCATTTTTTGAAGTTCCTCAGATAATTTTTCTGCTGTTAAATGAAAACTTTTGTCCTTTAGTTCTTCCATTGTTTAAGTTTTTATAATCGTTATGTCCTTTGGAGTTAATGTATTAAATTAATTTTAATACAATAGCAATATTTTATGGAATAAGTACAATAATTAGTGATAGCAATAAAGTGCAATGTTGTTGCTAAAAATAAAAGAATACGAACAGACGACGTTATATTATTATTATTTTATTGTGGTTAATATTGATGCAATAATCAAATATTTCCTTGGTAACCAGTAACCAACATGATGTAACAACGCACATTGTAGTAATAAACAATAATGTAATTTACTGATTTACATAAAATATATGCGTCTAGTGGCATACTTAGACCTGAAGTTTGGGGAGGGGAGGTTCATTTTAAAACAATTTAGTGATCCTGAACTAAATAAGACACATCGTAAACTTTAATAGATTATTCATTTTTATTCCTTAATATTTGTAATATATTTATGAATAAAAAAATGAAATAACGCGTACTAGTTCTGTTCGTCATTTAATTTGATGGGTGATATATTAGAAATATTTACTAATACAAGCAGTTTCGTGTTAATACGATAAAAATTACAGATTAAAATAGGTAGTGTTGGCTCAAGCAAAAATAATGTGCTAGAAAAAATCAAATTTTTTTACATAAAAAAAAAAAAAAATTGAGCTTTAATTTTAATTTAACCCCTCCCTCCAATTTTTATGTGATATACCTACATGAAAAACATTTAAATTGTTTTAATTGAACGTCCTTTTTTGTAAAGTTATATATTTTATTATAAATTTATTAGGTGCATGTATTAAGATTTTAGGAATTCATGTAATCAAATATTTATTGCTTTTTAAAAATATTATTCACTTATAATCTTACAGATAACTAAACAATTATCATAATCTTAAAAAATTAAACAAATTATTATTATAATAATATCTATAAAATAAAATAAAACAAACTTACTTTTATTTAAAATTGATTTTTCTTGCTTTTAGAGAAACAAAGCTCTGTAGGTATAAGTTTATCCATGTCTAATTCTTCAACGATTTCAATTTCAATAGAAAGATTGACTAATCAGTCTTCAGATATATTTAATCGCAAATAATTTTTTAAGTTTTGTGAAAGTCTTCCCAACAGTTTTGGGAGGTGGTTATCCTCCTCGTTAGTACGTCACTATATGCGTTTAATCTTAGAGATGGTAACAGAAAATAGATAAACTTTATTTTAACGGAACTAACTTTGGATTGTAAAATTTTTACATATATATATATATAATATATAAAGAGTATTTGTTTATAATGCAATTTACTTTTTGTAATACAGTAGCCGCCGCTTATTAGACTGACTTTGGGACCCGACAATTTGAGTCGATCAACCGAATGAGTCAATAAGGCGAATGACTCAAAAAAATTTTAAAAATGCTTAAATTTAAAACCGTATTTACTTAAAAATATGTATTGAGATTCAATATGTATGTATAAAAATAAAAATCTATATGCAATTAAAAATAAAATAATTAAATAAAATATGTACCTAATTAATAAAATAAATTAATTTTTTGATAAAAATCCATCTAACGTTGATTGGATTTTCCCTTCTTCAGCCAACTTCATAATCATATCTTCATAAGATTTATGTTGCTCAAATACGTCAAAATCGCCTCTTTGCTGAATCCCTCTACGTAAAATCTGAAGCGCTTCAAGCATTTGTTTAGTTGATGGTGGTTTTTCATCAGATTCCTCTTCGTCGCTATCACTAGCCACATTCTCTTTTGGCCGTTTTGACTGTATTTCACCACATATATCTTCCTCGGTAACGAGTTCGGTAGTTTGGACTTCTTCGTCAATATTTATCCATTCATTATAAAGTTCAGTTGATAGGTCAGTGGGTCTTTCAACAGCAACTTCAACTTCTTTTAGACTGAGAATGAAACCACCGTGTCGGAAACAATTACGTATTGTGATTTTACTAACGATATTCCACGCTTCGTAGGCTAAATGAAAACCTTCAAGTACAGTTGTTTTTTTGGCGATTTCATGAGCATGTAAGGTACATAATTCTTGTTTCAGGTTAGCATCAATCACACTGATCACATTCTTTCTCATTTTTGTTCTATAATATGCTTTAAAAGTGCGTATAATCCCTTGATCACACGGTTGTATGATTGATGTAGTGTTAGAGGGTAAGAATACGAGGTTAATATGTTTAAATTTCACTGTAACCACATGAGCCGTGCAGTTATCTGCACTATTTCTATAACTATAACTATTTCTGTTCTATGGTGCATTATGAGTCACAGGGTTTCTTAGGGAGGGAGGTAGGTTTATACGAAGTGAGAACGCCACCCAAACAGCGAAACCCACGCTGAAAAAGTATGCTAAGCTCTCTGCCACTGGCACTAATGTAAGCGAAGAAGGCATATAAGTGTGGTGAGACGGGGTACATGAGTTGGCCTCCAAGAATCAGAGGTGAATAAAATACTAAAGCGTTTCAAGAAAAAAAGGCAAGACTCTGACGACGACGAATAATTACGCACATTTATGGGAATTAAAAAAAATAGATCATAACTCACAACAAGATGGCAGAACAGAAGGATTGTCATTCTTAGAGGAGTTCGACGAGATGAAGATGGAGGACATTAACCTAAAGGGACCTCCCGTTGTGAAGCCCGAGCTTCGATACACAAAAGCTGCAGGAGGTGGAACATCGTCCGCACCAGATGATTGTCCCACACGAGGCACCCGCCGAAAAGCGACAGAAAGAGCATCTGTGGTTAAAAAACGCGCCTACAAGCGTCATGCCACAAGACAGAGCGAAGACGAGGACGATGACAGAGATGAAACACCGGGACACACCCGGCGACGCAATCTCCAACCTACACAACATGCTAGAGGCTAAGTTGGATCAGATGTTGGAGATTATGCGCGACATCAGGGCAGCTCAGCAAGACGCGGGATCGCAGATGCGGAGCCTCGTCGAAATGACGGTGACCACACATACAAGGACGGAATCACTACAACAACACGCAACAGTCAGTATGCTAGTGACTCCGCGCATGTATCCCTCTCTCGCGACGGAGGATCTGAGTGCCCCCCAACCCGTATCCCACAAAACACAAGCTCAGCAAGCATCAGGGCAAACAAAATGGAAAACTATGAGAGACACATACCGACGATATGTTGGTAACGGTTCGGTTCGCGGGCGTATGCCGAGCTCGATTCGTCTGATGCTCCCCGCAACCCGATGATGATCGTCGAAAAAACGGGCCAGGTACGTTTCGAGGATCATCAACTTTGATTCGATATGACTCAATTCCGAACTGCCAGCCGAATCGATTTCCACTGTTCGTGCGCGGCCTGTATGGTGTCGGACGCGTATGAGTCTAAATTAAGGTCGAGATGTTTCGGCTGTATGTTGGTCGGTTCGCTGCTTCACGGTAATTCGCTAGTAGCGTTCTCCCGGCCACACTGGTCATCGTCCGTATTCGCCTCAGTTCGGAGGCTCACGTAATATGAGAATCGTATCGATTCGGGCTCTATACCTTTCGATATAAAATACTCGGCCAGACGGGTTTCGAGATTGGATTCGCACCGCCGGCGGAAAGCTCACGCTGTTCAGACTCGAAACGCAGTTCGACCAGCGTCAATTTATTCAAAATTTTTTCCGACATATCGTTGATTAAATATACATAGATAGCCCATACAATGATAATGTATGGAAGCTCCCAATAACCTACCGGGAGAGCCAGAAATCTAGTAATATGGGAGCTAGACATCAAAATACGCTATTTTTGTGGTTCAGTGGTCATATTGACCACTTTGAATCCAGGGGTTCCGATTTCGAATCCTGCAAAGTACAACAGATTTTTTTTTCTTTTATTTATCTTTACAATACGACTATTGACTAAGTATATCTTAAGAATTTATTTATATTGAAATAAATTAAATATGGCTGAGCATTTTTTAATTAATATATGATCATTTTAGCTGTTACCTATAACAAAATTACTAGACAATTTTCGAAAAAGGTTATATTTTGTATTAACGACATAATTCAAAATTGCAAATATGTAAATTTAAAGCAATGAGTGAATTAAGCATGATAATATAAGTGTACAATTTATAAATATAGTGTATAAAATATGAACAAGGTGTTATTCATAATATATCTTAAAATAGATTTTTAATATTGCCATTGGTTAATTCATATTTAGTCTATTAAAACGATGATATTACTATTTATGAATATTATGTTCTGTATATGTGTTATAAATGGGTATTAACTCGTTATCACAGTATATAAATAGTTTTCAAATATACTATTTATTTTTGACAAAACAAACATTTAAAACGTTTTATTTTGTAATACTGATCAATACGTGTAAAACGTCTCTCTTAAGTACGTTAAATGTAATAATTATATTAACGTTATCTATACTATACTTTTATTTAAAATTGTCAACAATTTGTGACCAAGCATTCACAAATGTAGCTGCTATTAATATATTACAAAAAAACACTAATAAAATGTATAAAAATAATGGTCAAGATTATACAGGATTTGGTTTTGAGATAGGAGGCCATGACATAATTCCTTTATATGATGTGCCTCATTTGCTTAAAAATCTGAGGAATAATTTAGTCTCTAAAGATTTAAATTTTGAATATGATGGGAAAAACCATACAGCTTCTTGGAAACATACAATCCAATTTTATGAACTCGACAAACGTCAAAGTACAGAAGGAGATCGGTTAACACTCAAACTCACTGATTGTCATGTGTATCCAGCTACACTGAAAAAAATGAAAGGGGCTAATGCAGCTCAAGTTTTTAGTCAACGCGTTGGAGCAATTATGAAACGATTTGCTGAGATGAATAAAGGTTTATAGTATAATCCATCATGTGTTATTGTAGAATTAATAACAAATTATATCTTCTAATAAATTTTTGTATTTCCACAGAAATTCCAATAATAATAGGCCTTGATGCTTCAGCACAAAGTACAGGGCAATTGTGTTTATTTATGGATAAGTTATTTGATAGTGCAAACGGTAACTCCATTAAACTAGAACTTGGAAAAAATTTAAGATGTGCAGTTACAAGAAATTCGTCTCATTGGGATTTTTGGCAAAAAGCATTAATTACTCTCAATTCAATGAAGTACATAAATACAAACAAAGCAATTGTTCCTTCAATTACTAATTGGATAAAGACAGTAAAGGGAATTATGCACATTTGTAAACGACTTCTTGATTGTGGCTTTGCATTTGTATTGTTGCAAAATTTTAATCAAGATCCGATTGAAAACTTTTTTGGTTCTATTCGTAGTCATGGAGTCAGGAATATAAAACCAACACCGGCTATGTTTATATCATCATTTAAAGCATTGTTAATAAACAACTTCACGTCTAACCATTCGGTAGGATCAAACTGTGAAAATGATGATTGTGATGGTGCTTTGGATAATTTAAAGAATTTCTTAATTGATGAAATACCCCTAGAAGAAACTATCATTCAGAGTCCAACGGAGAGCATGATTGAAATTGAAATTCCAAATGTTAAAATACCCAGTTCTAATTCTCAAGTGAATTCTGGAAGTAGAGCTTATGTTGCTGGATGGGTTATAAAAAAAATTAAAAAAATTACCAATAATTGTCGGTTATGTGTATCCATGCTTTCATCTGACATTGTTTTAAATCGACATTTTATAATACAAATACGAAATTATTCTCAATGTAAACTATTTCTCCCTGATAAAAATGTAATTAACTTATATAATTATATAATACAATTTTTTAATTTAAATTTTCACCATTTTGCCTATAAAAAAGGTGGTTGTAACAATTTTAAAAATATTGTGAAACAAGTTATTTCCCTTCAAAATCTTGTTTGTGAAAATCATGATTTGTCTATTATTTTTATAAATACTGTGTGTAATCTTTTAATTTATTCATACATTAATCATATTAATCGCATATTAAGTAAAGGTGAACAACTAGTAACAGAAGATCTTATAAAATTGTCTGCAAATACTTATTTTAAAAAATATTCAAAAAAAAAAAAAATTGTATTGCAGAGACAAAATGTTAATTATGTATAATAACTTAATAAGTATGTAATAACTAATTATTGTAAGCTTTATAATAATATGTAATATTATATGTAATTATTAATTTTAAGAATTGTACGCACTGATACTGTATATTTTACTTAATTTATAACTATTTAAAATGTATATTTTGTAACATACTTTTTACAAAATAAATATAATTTTGTTTATTAATTTTACAATCGTTTAAATTAATCTATTTCCAATGAAAGTTTAAAAAAAGTAATATCATAATAGAATTGGATAACGATCGATTACTTAATATCGATTGCTAACTATCGATAATAAAACTTTAGTTCGATTGAGGTAGTCATTACGACAACCGTTGTAGAGCGCTAGTAGCTATTGTTTACGCGCTATACACGTAGTCTTCTTCTTCTTATTATTATTATTATCATAATTGCAACCACGACGGCGTCGACCTGTCCTTATCTGTGTCCACCTTCCTAATCTTCCGTCTGTGTGAATTTTAATTAGTATGTGTTCGTTGATTATTGTCTTATTTATTTATTATTATTATCTCTCGTTAATTTTGTATTATCTTTGTTAATGAATTATGCAGATTAGTGAATTATTCTACTTATTACATAACGGCCAACGCCCTTTATTATATTACGTATATTATATTTATTACTATTTTTTTTCTGTCTGTCGTTCGCTGTTCGCCACTAAGGCAACACATTGTTTTTGTCGATCTTTTTGTCGTTCATTAAGGACACAAAACATATATAGTTTTTTTATTATTTCATTTGTCGTACGCAATTTAGGCAACACCTCTTTTTATATACCTACTATATCTTCGTTATCGCGAACTTTTATCGCCGCGCCACCCCGCAATTAATGCGGACGTTTATTAGTATTATTATTATTATTAGTGAAAAGTCATAATAAATAAATCAAAACATTACCATAACTAGATCTGCGTTGTGTGAGTTATTTAAATATTATTAGTAGGTGTCACCTTTTGTTTTGTCCTCTTCGTCGTGTCTCCATTGTGTGAGACCAAACAATATTTTGATCATCGTCGAAACCCTTCGGTAGTGTCCGCCTTCACCTCTGCGTAAGTCAGCCAGCCACTGGGTGGTGTGTGAGGCCGCCACGGTCTTCGAGAGTTACCAGTTACCATTGCAGTTACCATAGTCGTCACGTATTTTAAGTTGTGATTTGAGTGTTTAGTTAGTAAGGTCTTTTTCCGATTTTGTGTGAGCTCTGTGGTCATTGCACCATACTGATCCGATCACAGAGATTCCCCCCCCCCCTTATAACTAAACTCAATATTCCCATTCCCGTGTTAAGTTTAAGTCACTGTCTCCCATCCTCGTCGTCGTCGTTGTGCACATTAAGTTGCCTATTCTATATCCGTCAGGCAACGGCACGTTAGATTGCCTATACGGTGAACTTCAGGTATATGTTATAAATTTAATTAATTTTTTGGTTCTTGGTCTTACCAAGTGGGTTCCTCGCCTTACCTTGTTTCATACAGCCATCCACTATCAAATATTTCTACAGCAGTTGCCCTTCTATCTAATCTCTTTTCTATGCTTATATACAAGTCGGGTAACTCGGTACTATCGTAATGGCCGTAATGCATACTGTTGGATCGATTATTGATGAACGGAATAATCAAAATGATCTGCATCGCCATCTATTATCACAGTTCTCAATAGTATAATAATTTAATAATTGTAACTAGATACAGAAAAAAATTTAGTATACATTACATTTTGTACAAATTGATAATACATAATAAATATCTATAAATAAATGTGTTTTATAAGTTTTTCAATTATAATTTACACGGGGGACGTATCGTCCCCCGTTCAAATTAAAAATATAAGAAGGGGTACGCTAAAAAGAATAAAAATGTTAAGAGGAGCTCCGTCCCCCTGCTTCCCCCCCAATTCGAGCACTGCGTGAGATACAACCAACAAAGTCTTCTTCCATCCTTGCAAATAACTATAAGGAAACCATGCAGATATAGTAACTGTTAATTGCGTAGTAATCTGATTAAGAGCAAAAAATATAAAATAAGTCTTTAGTACTATTGTAAATTATGTGTGGAACAATTATGCGTGCATTATACTCACACACACACAAACACACGCGCACACACAGTGTTAAGGGGAAGGGCGAAGGGGGCAATTTCCCCCGGGCGCCTTAGTTTTGTTAAAGTAAGGGGGTGCCTTTATTTGCCCTCAATATGCTTCCTGTAACCCCGAAAACCAAATATGGTTCAATATTATAAAAAAAGGACACCAAGATGAACGATGACAAAATAAATCTATTTAGATTTTCTCATTGAAAATCCCTACGAAATCCATTATAATTTTATCAAACGTGGTAGGTGCTGACTATTGACAAAGTATTGTGATTATAAATACTTACTATATATAGTATTTACTATTTATAATCATAAATCAATGATTTATAACGATAACTACAAAGATAAAATAGTGAACCATGGATTTATAAAATATATACCCGTAGTATAAGGTCTATTTCAGAATTATGCATTTTTATTACAGTCGGTATCAGATTATCATAGCGATAACAGACAATAATAAAATAATCCTTTCACTATATTAGAATATTATTGATAAATATAAATATTTTTAAATTAATATTAGTGATGTATATATATATATATTTATATTACGTTTTATTTCCAAATAATATATTATTATTATAGTCATTGTTAGCCTTAATCATTTATTTTTAAACATTTATGATAATGATAAATAAGACCGTGGGCCGCAACAGAAAATCTGCTTATCCAATGTCTTAATCTAACCGTTACTGACTGACGACTATACACAATACTCAGTTATTTACTATTAGACATTAGTATTATTATATTGTGTGTTTTACTTTTATAATTGATGTTTATGACATCAATGCATCATCTGTGATCCATTATATTGGTACGTTCCTTTTGCATACATAAATTGCAATTGTAAATAATTAAGTGTTTAGAATTTATTTAGAATTAATATGTTTTTTTTGTGACTGGGTATTTTGGCTTATATTTTATTTATATTAGCTTGTTGATAACTTTAGTTTAGTATTTAAACATTGAGTTATTGCTTTTTCTCGATATGGATTTAGTCAATGAAGTTGGAAAAAAGAAAGCTAGTGGCAGTAAAAATAGGAAGAGAGGAAAAAGAAAATGCTCAAAAAAATACTCTGCTTATTTCAAAAATTATTAAATTACAAAATTATTTTTTTAAATTAGAGACAGGTGGGTACAAAAATATAATTTAATAAATTTATAATCTACTAAATAAAATCGAAATTAATTTAATTCTGGGCCTATATTTGTTACAATAAAATCACTTAATTTATTATTTAGTTAAGAATCTTGAAATTAATAATAGTAATGATCCAGATCCAATCAAAATTCCTAGTTCTTGTGGTATGTACCTACCTTTTATTGTATAAACATTCAATTTTTAAATTTTTAAATATTTTTTTATTTTTATTTTAATCTATCTATGTTGTATATTATCAAAAAAATTGTAGTCTTGTATTTATTTTTAGCGGAGACTGAATATTTGGAAACTATTAATAATATTAATGGTCAGATGCTCATTTCTGGTTCTGCTAATAATTCATTTAAATTGAAAAAATATTTATTATTCAATTTACTTATTTTTTTAGTTATTGACCCTAATACAAATAAAGAGTGTATTTAATTAATATGTTATATTACATAATATAAAGATATTCTTAAAATGTATGTTATTCATTAAGTATGTACAATGTACATACTTATATGTACATTGTACATATAGGTTTCTCAGTATAAAGCAGAATATGTAATATATACGTAATATATCAAATTATGTGTAAATATTCAAATCACTTATGACGATTTTCTACATATGTCAAATTTCCAAGAAAAAAATTTAATATTGATGATTTTGTAATTGTTAAAAACACTTCCCCATTTCCACAATAAACAACACTGCAAATAAGTTTTTTTTATCTTACATGGTAACCACTTATTTCATTAGAACTGATCACACTCGACATCAATTTTTTATATATAATAATAATGCATATATCGGTAAAGTATTTTTCTGTACATTATATACAGACTGTCATATTTAATCAGACAGTAATGGTTACATTTTATTACACAACAAATTATTAAATGCAGGGACGGCGTTAAGGGGGAAAAGAGGGGGGGTTGCCCCCCCAGGATCAGTTCTCGTCCTTCTATCGCCCCCCTAGATATTTTGGCGCACAATAATGACTTCGTGCTGAACATTTTATTAATTAAATATTTTGTTATTGTAATTTTTATTACTGAAGCCATAGCGACAGCCAATTCAGTAACAGATTACAGATAACGTGAAAATTACGCAATAGTGTCACTTCACTTTAGTAATCCCTGAATGAATAACAAGTAAAATTATATTTCATTGCTACCAAAATGAATTTAGAAACGTTATATTTGTATACCGTTAAATTCATTATATTTTTCTGCATTTGTCGGTGTAATCACTAAGCTTATAACATGCGTATATTATTATTATGTTATAGATAACGGAAGCATTATAGCGATTTAATCTATTCAATGGTACTTGGTAATACGTCCGTACATTAATTGTCTGACTTGACTGTATGAGTTGTTTATGCGCTCATGGCACTGTTGCAGTGAAAAGTTAGTTGAATCAAATTTCAAAATGAGTGTTAAAATAATTGATTCTTACTTTGGTCCTCAAACAAATTCAGCTAACGAGGATGAATTACAAAAAAAAACAAAAGACTACAAATACAGTTGCTGAAATTATCAATTTGGTGCAATCATGGGATGTTTAAAGTGATTTAGATATAAATTCAAGTAAGTAAACAACAGTTGAGTTTTCAGTACCTACTACTCACTACTCACTACCCAGTGGTATATTGGCAAATAAACTTAGGGCGCATTATTTTCTTGAAAAAAACTCACTATCTACACTCAAAACATTTACACTACTTTACAATTTATTGTCATATTGTATAAAAAATATTAATTAAGGATAGAATATACAGAGTGATTCAAAATGTATGTTACAGCCATTTTAAAATATAAATATTCAAAATAAAGACAAATGTATATGTAAAGTTAGAAAGTTTTTTGATTTATAAACATCTAAAAATATTTGTATTTTTGTCAACTTTTGAAATTGAAATAGGACCTATACTTTTTTTCCAAATATAATGTGGAGATATTTTTTTAATTAATTTTAGTGATTGAACAGCATTAGTTATGTAAAACTTTAGGCTTGAGAGCAGTTTTTTAAAAATGAATGTATAAATTAATTTTATAAACTGAATAAAAATAATTGTTGAACTCGTTAAATCTAGTAAAATGAAATTATTGAATACTTGACAAGTTCATTTGGATCGTTCAAATACACTAATTTGTGTTTTTGGAGTTATACACTATTATACCCGTTTCCAGAAGGAAATAATTTTTTTACAATGCATGTATACTTAAATCCACCTTTTTTAATTCGTTGTCCATCTTGTGTTAAATGTGCTGACGTTTGAATTAATATCGATTTATAAGTTTTTAAATCCTGTTCAGTATATAAAGTAGGAAATTTTGCAAACAATAAACCAATTAAATCACTTGTTAATTGTTTTTAAAAATTAATCCGATATTTGATTTAATTGTTGGAGTATCATTGGGTGAACAAATGTATTATTTTCAACACAAGCTTCAAAAACGGCCCATTCCATGTACTGCAAAGCTATAAGATCCGCACGATTAAGCAGTACACGACAACCATCTTCAATTTTTGATTCGATCACTAAATTATTTTCTCCGCGATAAATAATTTTTGATTATTTATTTACTTTGTTCGTGAAGAGTAAAAGATTTTTATTTCCATCCGGTGTGTCCAATATCATTGATAAAATATTACCCATAAAAGAGTAGATTCGTTTTAAAAAGCAATGCGTTATTGAAATATGGCGAGAAGGTGTTATGATTCGAATTATAAGTTTGAAGTTATCGCTCGGATCGAGTCCAATGTTTAAGAATTTACGGCCGACAAAGTCAATTATAAACGTACTTGAATCAATTAGTTCGTTAGGTGTCATGGGTGTAACGTACATGCACTTTGATTTCTTGAATATAGCAGCATTACTCTGTAGTGATCCGGCCATTGCAAATAAAAAAAATAAAAACACACTACCGATTTGAAAATTAACTGTTACGTGCCACCGGCTCGATTTCAAGTAATGCAGTCGATGATGTATTTAAATTTAATTAATCAAACATATGATACTTTAACTTAAACGTTTATTTCAATATTCAAAGTGTTTAACAAATTTTAACATAGAGTGACGTGAAGTTGCTTGTAGTTCCGTGACTAAAACTTATCTGAATTGTGGTCATTTCGATCCCTCTTTTATATTGATCGATTGACGTCATAGGACTGGTTGTTTAGCAGTATCCAGCGATAGGCCTCGTTCCCAATATAGTATTCTAGGAATATAGATTGACCTTCGTCGCAGCTTCCAATTATTACTCGGCTCTCGACCAATTAGTTAAATATAACAACCTGCTGTCTTACATAATTCATAAATTGTTGTGTTACGCACAATTTCTATTTATACATGGTTATGCCACATATAATAGCCCATAACATAACACTATGAACGCAACTCATCGACTGATATTGGTATGGACTCCAAGAGTAAATCGATGTCTTTAGATTCGGTTATTGTGGAGAGGGGAAGGTCTTTTTAATAATTACAAAATCATCAATATTAAATTTTTCTCGGAAATATAACGTGTGTGAGAACTTGACGTTTTTTTCTCAGAAATATTGACAGGTAAAGACATGATATTTTATGTAATTTGATATACATATTGCATCTTATTCACAGGCAAATGGCGTATTCTTTTGAACAATAAACACATTTTTTCTTGGAAATTTGACATATGTAGAAAATCGCCATAAGAGATTTGAATATTTACACGTAATTTGATATACATATTCTGCTTTATACTGAGAAACATATATGTATATACTTAAATTCGTTAAATTAATTACATATTACTAATGGATGTAAGAGTCTAAGTTGAGAATTGTTATATCCTAAACAGCTCCAGTTCGATTCTTACCCAGATATTGCATTTATTTTAAATATTATCAATAATATTCTTTATGTTTTCAAATGTATTATCACCTGTATAATAATATTAGTGGGTACTTGATATCACAACTGGTATCGGATATTATCAAAAATTCAGTAAGTAGTGGTGCGGGAAGGGGGGGGAGCAGCAACGAACACGATCGTTGTAGTGGTGTGGGGGGCGTCTACAGCGGTGGCAGCGACGGCGGCGACGAATGCGGAGGCGGTAGTGCTTGAAACCCCCATTTTACCCTACTTACATTATTATAAAATATTGTTGCAGTATTTTATAGTCAAATTATGCACATCATTACAATATACGTCTCTTAATTCGTTACTGATACGTATGGTAATCAGGGCTCGGGAAATTAATAATCATGATTTATGGCCCATGCCTCAAATATAAAATTGAGAAAGAGCCCAGGATGCATCAAATGGCTTGTGGAAATCTTCCGTTGGTACTCATCAAATTTTTCTTTGCATTAATTAAATCGAGTACCTTAATTAATTTAAAAAAAAAAAAATTATCGTTCCTTAATAAGCAATAATACGATCACGTATTCATTGATTAATATGATTCCTAGCTTATTGTACGTGGTATTTCCATAAAATAAATTATTAGCATTTTAATTTTAAATCTATTCATGAGATAATATACACAAAGAATGGATAGTAAACACAGTTAAAATTTTGACTGGATTATTATTTTTTTACATTCGAAGTGTCTCAATATCTTTTTTTAAATTGTGTAATTTAGATACTAAATCATTTGAGTCTATCTTATGACAGCTGCTTTGAGTTTTATCGCATATTTCTTCGCATTTTTCTTCACATTTTTCTTCGCACTTTTGCTCACATTTTTGAGTAGTATTCGTGTTCTTGCAACATACATGAGGGGTTTTTCTCAAGTTCTCACAAAATTTTTCCACTTTACAACAATTTGTCTGCATGCTACAGCAATTCATCTTTACATTACAACAAACTGGTTTCTGAATTTTATTTTCTTGACAATGATTAGCTCCGCATTTTTGCTTAAATTTACACAACTTTTCTGAAAATACCTTTATTTGTTCTAACTCACAATTACTTTTTTTGAACCTTAATTCAATATCTTTAAAATTATTTTGCTTTTGTAACTCTTTTACTTTATTCTCTAGTTGACATATAGTACTATCCTTCGTACATTGTTCTGTTTTTGATTCCAATAAGCAGTTATATAAATCGCAAGATTTTTTTTCATTTGATTTATTTAAATCGTTCAATGTAGATACTAAATTTTTGACTTTACACATTTCTTCATTTCGTTGATTTTTCGTCTCTTCATATAGTGTCTTCATGTCTTTCAATTTCTTACACTTATTTTTCAATTCACATGAATACATCTCTCGGTCATTTTTGATGTTTTCTTCCATAGTCGCGACACATAATTTTTGTACATTAATTTCCGTTTTGGCACATTTTAGTTCCTCAGTCAATACTTTAATATTCTCGTTTAATTTCTCGTTTTCTTTTCTACATTCACACAGTTGATCACGCAATTTACTAATATCCTCTTCGTTAGTTTTTTTGTTGACACATAATTTTTTAATCTCGCAATTTCGCTCCTCTAACTTTGACTAAATAACAATAAAAGACTATATTACTATATTTTTTATTAAAAACCACAATATTTGTGAGCATATCATTTTGGCAATATTTTTTTTAATTGTATTATAGGATAGTTCTTTACTGGTACATTATCCAACGTCAGAAAAAAAAAAAGTTTGAAAATGCATCTGAACGCTGTATAGCATACATACAATGTGTAAAATAGGGTGGTTCTTATTTTTGAACTTAGGAATTTTTGATTTCTTTCCCCCTCATTTTGTTCATTACTATAATAAAGTAATGCGGGTCAAATTTGGTCATGATTACTCACCCCTTTCACGTGCCCCAAGAGGATTGAATATTAGTGAAAAATGGTTGTTTTGTCATTTTTTGACTATATTCAAAAAAATATTGCATTTATCTTAAAAATGTATAAAACATATATTATAGATATTTATATTTTTAATAAAAATATGTTCATATAATTTCTCATAAATCTATTATTTCCCAAGAAAAATGATAAAATATCGAATATTTCAATGATTTAAAAAAAACGATTTTTTATAGTTATTTAAATATATTAAAATAATGGTCTATGATACAACAAAATATCTTATATACAATCAATAAAGAATTTAATTTCCTAAAAAAAGTTAATTTGCGTACATTTTATTGGATTGACTGTTCTATTGTAACAGTCGGGTTAACGTAAAAAATTTAATGTATCTAAAATGTTATCATGTTAATTCAAAAGTTTCATTAATAATACACGTTTTAATATAATACAGCTTATACAATATCTTAGAAATCTATTACTATCTATTATTTATTATTTCATAAGAAAAATTATATAGATAATATTGAATATTTTATTTATTTAAAAAAATCAATTTTTTATTATTATATTATTATTTTTGTACATTTGTTATTATTTAGAGCTTATAAAATTATACACATTTTTAATATTTATATTTTTGAAACACTGTGTAAATTGAAAGTATCAAGTTAAAATGTTACTATCATAACTCAATAGTTTCATAAATAACGTTTTAAGATAATAATACATTTTATACGAGTAAATAATATTTTGTACCTAATAGTTGTATCGGAATCGGATAATATGTTACAGTTGAGATTACGGGATGGTAAACTTTTTCCCTCACTATCCGGAAAAAAAATGATTGACCGCCTATAGGAATACCAATAGTAATATCATTTAAAGGCAAAGAGCAGCTGTTTGGTGTACTAGAACTTATATCTGGCACTAGACAAAATCAAGCAATAGCAGTTCAGGCTCTTGAAAATTGGGGTTTAATCGAAAACATACGAGATACAAGATACATACCTCGTACAAGATTTATGTTGTGATACAACCGCATCCATCATGGGTCGACTAAAAGGCACTTGTATATTATTAGAGTAACGGCTAGAACGTGATATACTATATTTACCATTTAGACATCATATACTTGAAGTTACATTGTGCTTCAGCTGCTGCTCTGGTACCAAACATGGACTTACAATTTATTAAAATGCTAATGTTATAAAATACACAAATATAATATACAAATTTCAAAATGAACATTAAAAAAAATTTGTAGTCATTTGTGATACTTAACACCAGAAGTGTTATGTTGTTCACCATGAAGTGACAATGTATCACTGAAAATAAAGGCAAAAATGATTAAAGCAATGAAGACTTTTGATCATAGGCGCAAATATGAGGGGGTTTAAGGGGTATTAGCACCCCGTATTTTACAATTAGCAACTTCAAATAATGTTCGTGTTTATGTATCAAAAACTTATTTTTGTCATTAGACATTTGACTATTAGAGTATAAAACTGTAATGAAATATAAATGAAAACAATGTTACTCGACAAACGTCAATTCACATTTTGTCAAGTTCACCGAAACCCTAATTTAAATTAATTTTAAAACCGAAACCCCACCGGAACCTTTATTTGTATTTATTCAAAAATCAACTCATTAAATCCTTATAGTTTTAATATACATTAAATACCCAATAAATACAGAGCTTAAGCACCTTCAGTTGTTTTATTGAAATTACGTCTATGCTTTTAATGTCAAATCAGAATACAAAAGACGAATAATTTTATAATCAAATAAAATATACGATTATGCTGATAAAGATATCGATAATTTTATATCAGTCCAATCTAGAATTTTTTTTTTATAGATTCGATATGATGTTGGACTTTTTAGATTTATATCCGAAATTAAGTGAGAAGTGGAATTAATTGAAGATTATAGCAAGTTAATAACTAAAAGCGAAGGACAAAAGCAATATTTACTGAAAGTAGGGAGCGAGTATCGTCGGTGATTCCCAGATTGTATAAAACTACCTTGTCCAAGATCTTTAAAATAACTGAAAGAAATCGACTATGTAAAAAAAATTAAAAAAATTATAATAATAATTGCTATCATATAATTTTTCTAATGAAATAATAAATAATAGATAATAATAATAATAGATTCATAAGAAATTATATAAACTGTATAATATTAAAACATGTATTATTAATGAAACTCTTGAATTAACATAATAACATTTTAAATACATTACATTTTTTTACGTTAACCTGACTGTTACAATAAAACAGTCAATCCAATGAAATTTATGCTAATTAACTTTTTTTTAGGAAATCAAATTCTTTATCAATTGTATATAAGATATTCTGTCGTATAATTAACCATTATTTTAATATATTTAAATAACTGTAAAAAAATCGTTTTTTTTAAATAAATAAAATATTCAATATTTTATCATTTTTTTTTTGAGAAATAATAGATTTAAGAGAAATTGTATAAATATGTTTTTTATTAAAAATATAAATATCTATAATATATGTTTTATACATTTTATAAGATAAATGCAATATTTTTTTGAATATAGTCAAAAAATGACAAAACAACCCTTTTTCACTAATATTCAACCCTCTTGTGGCACGTGAAAGAGGTGAGTAATCATGACCAAATTTAACCTGAATTACTTTCTTATAGTAATGAACAAAATGAGGGGGTAAGAAATCAAAAATATAAAAAAAAAAAAATTTCGTCATCTATAGTTAAGGACCACCCTAGTGTATAATATACATAATTTAAATTAATTTAGAAAATAATTATTAAGTGTGTTTTGGAAAACTAGAATTTTATTTACTTTAGTATCGCACAGTTCTTGTTGTGTACGATTAAATACTTTTTCATAATCTTCAATTTTTGATATTAGCACGTTTTCCTTACATTTCTGACATTTTAATTCAGACTTCATATGATTTATAACATTTTGAAGTTCATTGGCTTTTAGTTCCCATTCATATTCCATTATCGAATATTTATTAATTTTTTCCGTTTGTTCTTGTAAACGATCATTCAACACCTGCCAGTTAGAATTTTCAGTTTGTTTCGAGCACGTTGGCATTTCATGACTTATTTGTAATTCATCTCCATCAGTATCCATATCAAGTGATTCTAGATGCTTTTCGAAATTGTATAAATTCTCTTTTTCGCAAGATACAATATTTTTAAAATCGTATTCCATTTCCCCAGAAGAAATCTAGGTGCATTAAAACAAATGTAAATGAATCGGTTATGAATAATATTTGAATGGTATAAATTTAATTTACTTACACTTTGAGATGAATGCATATTATAATATTGATGTGTAGTATATTCGATTCGGTTAAAATTTTTAATTATGCAATAAAAGTTACGATATATTGATAGTTGAAACAAATTCGATGCGCTGTTATGGTAATCATAGACTACCTTAATACAATATTTGATTTTGAAATTTATATTTTAATATAAATATAAATATGAGACAAAATGACATACATGTTTTTTATCATTTTTAAATTAAATCGATGCTAGTCATAAGTTTAAATTAAAAACCATGATTAAGCAAAGGAAATAAATTTATGAAGTTTATTAAGATTACTGGAAATACTTACAAAATCTAAACAATAACCAAAACTTAAAGTAATTAATTTTTCATTTTTTTTTAAGTTTAGACTAATATAGACCATATATATATATTACATAGTATAGGTACTATAGCGATTATTTGATAAGTCAATTGAAAATACCGCTATGCGGTGGCAGTAACATCGAGCATGCCGCGGTTTTTATGAATATCGCGGCGGCGATATTTTACCGCGGCCGAATTACTGCTGCAGTGTGCGGACTTCCTTTAAGGTTCGCTCAAACCGAAGCGGTGGCGGTAGCGGCAGCGAAATTTAATGTCCATACATTTTAATACGAGTGCACTCACTATCGCGAAATTAATACCGCGGGGAAAATGTTACCACAAGATTGAGCGCGATATTTTTATTTTTCACTGCAGACACTATATTTTTCGCTTACCACTGCGATAATCAGTTGTTAATTCCCAACTATGAGCTATCTACATTTTATTATTAATATATTAATATCTATAGAAAACTTATCATTACATTATATAAGATATATTTTGACTTTATATTCAAACACATATCTATTCATCGTAATCGTACACCTTGCAGTTTACACCTTGCAGTTGAATCTAACGTCGTGGTGTTTGAATGTATGATTCTCTTGTATAAAATGTATTATTTATAATAAAAATGACCAATAAAGTTGAACAGTTAATAGCTATTATTAAAGAATATCCCATCATATATAATATGACACTTCCAGAATTCAAGGATACGAGAAAAAAAGATTATATTTTTAATTTGTTGTTTTGTACTATTAACTATTAATATTAATAAATAAAAATATAATAATAACTAAAATACATGTATGCGCATGGGCAGGGCCGGAACTACGGGGTGGAAGACAGGGATTCATTATAAGAACACAATTTATTTGAGTATTTGTTTATTAGTCTATGGATAGGGCGTAATTTTAACATTTTACCCGGGCGTAAGAATTCCTAGTTTCATCTCTGCGCATGGGTATCACAATGTCGACTAGTAATTTTTGGCGAAATATTTTGCTCTCTGGTTAGGTTAGATCAGCGGTAATTAAAAAGCGATAAATACCGCTGCTGTTACGGCTGCCGCTACCACCACCGCTTCGGTTTGAGCGGACCTTTACAATACGTGTGTACAAATTTAACGCATGAACTGTTGACAAAGCTCACGGTCGTAGAATAACGTTGTCCTAATCGCATCTAATCATCAGCCGATATACATAATAAACATTCTTGTTTGTTTTGGCACCTGTTAACAGCTGTTGCGGGATCTTGTTTAATATTTATGCAACACCCGTAATTTAATACCAAAAATAAAATTAATAGTTTTTAAATAGTTTTTAATAATTGTTTAACAGTATCATTTAATAATTCATTTTCAATTGCGCAGAATAATAATAAATAAAAATAATAATTATAATTAATCGACCGGGTCAAAAATTATTAAATTAAACTACGATTTATTAAACAATAGCACTTAGGAGTATAAAAAATAGGTAAAAACCTATTCACAGACCTACCAAATGTACATACAAAATTGCATTAAAATCGGTTTAACTGTTTTGGAGTATGGTAACAAACCCTGTGACTCACTTTTCACATTGATCCATTTTATTAGTGTTAGCCGGGGGTCCCATTTGAACGATTAATTATTTTATATGGACAATTTTATAAGTTAAAGCTTGCTGTAGTTTTTTTCATTTCAAAAAAAAATTCTGGAACTCAAATAATCAATCATCAAAAAAAATTTAAAAAAAGAGTTTTTCTAAAATTTTTTTTCGTAAAAACCTTCTCCTGTCAATTACGAAAAATTAAAAAAAAAATTTGAGCCAAATCGGACCAGTCGTTCTCAGTTGATGACTTGCTATACATTTTTGGCTCAATTTTTATATATATATATACACGGTGTTTCAAAAGTCTTCATCCGATTACGAACTGATATAGTTCGGCAACAGTTAATCGCAGGTTAATGACCGATGTATTAATGGAAAGATTATATAACTAAGTTTATTTTAAGTTATTTAGTTGATAAATTTGGCACATAATGGTTAGTGAACTAGGAACCGTTAGTTTGTTTCGTTATGACGACTCCACAACAGAAAGCGTTTTACGTCCTACGTTTCAATAAGTGCGAGTCGGCATTAACCATTCAACGTGATTTTTGAAGAACTTAGGGAACTGAAGCTCCTACTACTCAAAGGATTCGACGTTGGCACTAAACGTTCCAAGAAAGTGGTTTTCTGTGTGCACAGAAACGCTCAGGTCGACCTCGTTTCTCTGACGGAAACATCGAGCATGTTCGACAGTTTTGTTTGAAGTTCATTCCTGGTCACCACGTTTCCCTGACCTCACAGTGTGTGATTTTTTTTATGGGGCTACATAAAAGATAAAGTGTATGTACCACCATTACCTACAACCTTGGAAAAGCTTAAAATTAGAATCAAAGATGCTGTTCATGCCGCGATATCAGATATGATCAGCAACGTTTGGGAAGAATTTGATTACCGTATACATGTGTGTCGGGCAGCCGATGGGGGTCATATTAAACATTTATAACCAAAGTAAATAAAACTTGACTATTTTAAGAATATATTTTACTTTATTTTACCCTTATATCTTCATTTTTAATATAAATATAAATTTTTGAAATTGGATGAAAACTTTTGATACACCGTGTATATAGATAATATCTATATTGGATTTGATACTGAATTGATTTCAGATTAGTCAGTATATATTTGCGCGTATAAAACGATTCGAGTCTGCTTTTATTTCTAAGCATTTATAGATTATAGACTGTGTTATTGTTAATACTAGTCGTGATCAACTTGACTCCTGTACAGTTTAATTTTATATCTATCTACATAATTACAGTATGTTTGTCTAAATTAATAAACCAAGTCATCTATACTTATTATAATATATTCTTTAAAGTGTTGTTTTCTTCTTCTCTATCACTACCCGTCATAATCCCCTTTGGGTGCACGACAATTCTATCACATAATGTTACAGATATATATATAAATACTATATCGATTGCATTACAATAACACAATGATTCCACTATAGCGGGCATAAGAATATGTAGAATTAAAACCACACTCGTGGATAAATTAAATTATTTAATTAGTTCACATGATCATTATACGGAAAATAATAAAAATAAACAAATAAACAACAAATGAATAATCGAAACGACAGTGACCACATCCTGTTTTCTGCGTCAGTAATTATGTACCAGACGAGAGATCTCACACACACGCTGAATCAATAAGGAATTATCATATTTTATTATCATTTTCATATACACATACACACTTGGGATTTACACACACGCTTGCATATATCAGATATAAAAGGGGGTCCCGAATAGGCCCTAATTCAGATGTGTTTTAATCTTGTTAATGCACGCACCTTCACGCCAGTTGTTTTATAAATTAATTATTTGAACTTAGAATACTTTTACAAATTGAATAAATTGGACTTAGAAATATTTCAATAAAGTTAATATTTTAAAGTCTTGAGTTATTTATTTCAACATTATTATTATTCTACATTGATTACAAAGCTGAATAGTTGAGTGTACTCATCTCTCGTTGCACTGTCCGGTACCCATACTCGTATACCAGCACGCAACAGTCTATAAAATAAATACTGAAATTTAATTTTCAATTTGGAATTAAGCCTATTAATACTATTCGAGAATTAACAAACCTTTCAAAGCTTGTTAAATATATCCAATAATTATTTTTGTCAAAATATCTTAAGTAACTTTATTTTTTTTTTTTTCGTTTTGTACAGATAACAACTATGTAACTATTTAAAAACTACTTCCTCTATTGTTTCAACCGATTACAATAAGATTTACAAGTAAACAAAAAAAAGAACTCATATAATAATATGAATGTAATTTTTAGTTTTAACTTAAAATGTTTAGTTGGAAATACAATAATATACATTTGTTATTTATGTAAAATAGTTATTTCAACTTAAATGTTTAGTAAAAACAATTATTTTTTTTCTCTCAAGTATACTATAAGTTTAATAAAAGTGTATGGTTGGTTCAAAATACAGTTAAATTTTTAACCATATGTAAATAGTATTTTCAACTAAAAATTTAGCTTTGCTATACTGCAACTATATTTTACGGTCGGAGTAAATACAATTGTAGTTGAACTAACTAATTTTTTCCCCGTGTACACAATAAACATTTAATAATACCAAATCAAAATTCTATAATCATTAGCTTTTAAAAATAACTGTACGGTTTGCTGTACTATAATATACACAATACCACTGGCTGATGTCCCCTTTGAGAAAATCCTGGTTGTGTTATTATATAGAACAGTGCACATTTATTAATCTAATATTTTTCAACCATAGCTTTTGAACATCTCGTGCAATTATTATGTACTCTGTGAGCACTTACAAATCCACTGCAATGTTCGACCGTCTACAATTAACAATAATTATTACCATTGATTATAGAATAATATAATATAATATATTATAATTATTCCATAATCAATGTTATTACTTAACAATAATTATTGCGCCTAAAATTTACTTGTACTGCAATACATATGGCATGAACAAAATAAAAAATAAAAAAATAAAATAATAATAGAACACTGGTGTTTTAAGATAAGTTAATAAATATAAGTATATTTGTTTTCTCTTTCTTTTCAAGAAACGTATTATTACAATATATGATTAGGAAAGCTTACGTTCTTATAAAATATGCGTATAGTTTTAAATGACCATAGTATTACCGTTATAGAAAGAACATTTTTCGTGGGACAAGCGAATACGATATAATTAAAAGCGCAATCGTTAGATGATGTACATTGGTCGGTTCAGGTCACATGGAAAATGGTGTAGCACGGTCCACGGTCACTTTAGATCCTTTCGGTTTAGTGTGACTCGACGGCTCGAGCTCCTTCTGGTCGGCGTCGACCATCTTATCGCCATGTCCCTGGTGGTTGGTGTCGACCTCTTCCGCGAATGTTGATTCCTCGCCAAGATCATCTTCGTAGGAATCTTCGTCCTCGGTCGGCGAATGGTGTTCCCTGCAACACGCGACGGAAACCGTTTGTTTTTAACGACGGTATTACGACGGACGCCGATACGCATCGCGTGCACAAGTGCAATACTCACAGTGCAAGTTCCTAACCGGGTAGTTTTCTCTCATTGGTCTCTAGATCCAGAGCGGATTTCTTTTTTGATATACTTGTAATTTAAAAACCGAAATTCGGCACTGGAAATAATTTAGGCGATTTTCTTCCAATATTGATGAAAAATTTAAATTCGAATTTCGAAAAGTGTAAGCATATATACCCTAAAACAGGCGCGCCAGTATCCTGCCGGCCCAAGTAACTATTTTTTATGCGACCATCTAAATACTTCTCGTGGTAGTTAATATTTTTGTTTAATTTCTCAAAACATAATAAACATAAAATTTATTCGAATTCGATATTGTGTTGGTATAAGGGAATTTTATCAGTAGTAGATGTTGAAATTGTATTTTTAACGACGTTTTTTCGATTGTTAATGTAGTATGTATGTATGTACTCTCAATAAAAATTTGAAAAACATTGGCCCGCGTAAGTAACATGTTTGCCTATCCCTGCTCTAGAACATATCAATTTTGATTAATTGACAGTATATGTGTCTTATGATCTAAAAATGCTATGCAACCCGTTATCGTATTATATATACTGAAGTTTTCATTAATAAAACTTTTTAAATTTAAGGTTCAATGTGGAATAACCAATCGTCATCACATATGTTAGCGCAGGAAGTTTCTTTTAAACTTTTAAGTTTAATACCTCATTATGGTGTGTTGTTTATTTCATTGATTAGCATCTTTCTAGTAAAAGTTATTAAAAAAAGTGCATTTATATTCTTATATACAGTTATCAGTAAAAGTACGTTCTTTTTTCAGATAAAATATGATTAAAATGATGTTTTTCAAAAATTTTAGAACTAGCAGATTTTTAAGTATTTTTTGAGGAGTCTGTTCGAATACAATTTTTTTAACGTAACACTGTCGGATATTGTCATAGGTATATAACGTGTATAGGTGTAGTATTATTTATAGCATTATACGGGAACATAAAGTACCCCATGCATGATATAACTATTATTACATCGCGATGGCAGTTTTACAGATGGTAAATACGCAAAATTTGCACTCACGTGTAACTGTGTTTGTTGGTGAACAACGACTTAGGACATTGCTTATAGTACGGGTAACATTCTTTACTGCGCTTGCCAGCGGTTTCGGCATCTACGTAGTCCTGCATCAAATGGGCGTACGACGATCTACTAGCACTGCAAAATTAATTCATTATATTAACCGTAACATCGTTCCGATATTTGTGCACAAACCATGCATACATTTATTTGAAAGTGCCAATTTTATTACATGATATTTGTTATTTTTGTTTTTACAACATAATTTATGTAACTGGTAATATCGTATTAAACCGACATATTATAATTTTTTTTTTTTTTAAATAACGTTTTTTTCACCGTGAATAAATTAGAATTATTTTATCCATACGTGATAGTCTTTTAATTCATTATCAACATATTTTATTTTTTGAAAGCGAAAATACACGTTAAAAAATGTGAAGATTGTATATTAGGTGTTGCATGACGTAAGGTACCTTACAAGTATTTGGAAATCTTTAATGACATTATCTTTAAATTGATTTATAAACTATTGGTTGGTATTAGACTATCGACTTTATTTTGTTCCAAACTAACAATATCGAACAATACATTTTTCAATTTTATTTTGTATTTAATTTATTTAATTTTGTAATAAATTGTTTTTTTTTCTTTTTTTTTTCTGATTATTTGTAATATATTAATTTTTTATCAATCAATCGCCTGTATTATGAACGATTTACGAGTATGTGCCATTTAAAGAATGCACATATTTACTATAAAACAAAATTGTAATTACAATTATTTAACATATAGTGTTTAACACTAATGTTTGTTGTATAATTTATATTGGAATGTCTGCATGTGAAATATATTATAAAATGTGTAATGTTTAAGAAATTAATTTACTTTTTTGTAAAGATACCTGACAAAAAAAAAATAAAAAATATTATTTCTAAATCTACATAAATTAATTGACACTTATATACGACAAATAACTCAAGCCTACTCAAACCCTGTCTCATACGGGTTTTTAATATTTTAATTTTATTTAATGACAATATAATTACAATATATTTATATGATATACCGTGTACATAAGATTCATTGGAAAGTTGTTTTTTCTACACTCGCCAATGACTTTAGTTGTTATTACTAATTTCTTATTTTTTTTATTTTTTGATGGTCGAATAACGAACGTCAAAGCTTACTGTTATAACTAGAAACCGGTGAGAACGCTATACCAACAATTTTATAATATGTACAGTTCATCCAGGGTCGTATTAAAGAGGGAACTACAGGGTGCTGTTGCCCCGGGCCACTGAATATGAGAAGGCAGCTAATTTTGATATTTTAAATATTTAATGATCTAATATTTTTGAAGTAAAACTTCTTTACAAAATAAAAAGTGTATCTCAAAAAAATATATATATCGCCAATCACGGCGTCGCAACACTCACACACATACTCGATAACGGTCGATTACTGTCGATAGATCCAAAGATTTACAAACAATCTATTCTTATGTTGACATTGCACTTAGAATGTTTTTGTGTACACCATAGGCGGAACCCCAAATATTTTAATAGTCCTCCCAAAGTAAAAAGTAAGTAAAAAAGTAGCCCCTGCGGGTTATTTTACATTGAATTATTATAGCCCTTCCAAAATTCAATCAAATATCGTCAGTGTACACCAGTAACGAATTGTTTTTCAGAAAGATCTTTTTTAATCTGCAGAAATTTGTATTTGGTATAATGAAGCATTTTTTATTGTTGCCCCCTGGTGTCAAATTCCTAAATACGGCTCTGAATTAATCCATACTTTCAAACGCTGTATGAATTAAATAATTTACTTTCCGTATAATCAAAAGCGTTTACACTCACGTTAAGAACAACTGAAGAAATTCACCGATAAAACCAAACTTATGAATGGACTGGTGTGCGTGAACTTCGCATATGGTTCGAAGCAGACACGGTTTCCCATCCATTCCAAAGTTAGTTAACAAATCTTCTACGACTGTGTACAGCAAAGCTCTGGAAACAAAAACACACGTAGTTCATCGTCGACTAATATAAAATATATACTATTCTATATATCTATAATCTACTACCATTTCTGTACAATTTTAATGTACAATAATCCCTCGTTGTCCACAGAGGTTACGTTTTAGAAAAGTTGCGTAGATAACGAAACCACAGACAACGAGAATCCGAAATTTCACAAATATCAACTGATCACTAAACAATTGACGATTATTAATCGTACACGTATAGTTGTATGTTATATGGCGTATGTAATAATTACTTACATAGTTGTATAGTTAACAATAAATAACCTAGTGATATAAAAACAATTATATTTAAATTATCCACACTACTCGTACAATATCGAAAGAATTTTATTGCATTAATAATATTTAATCGCAGAGTCAGCCGCGGATAACTGGTAATTACTGTAATTATTTTCAATTAACACGTTTTTTATGTAGATTAAAAACACTATTTAATAAAAAAAAACATAGTGTCTCTCCTGTTAAAAGCACACTTGTTTATAAAAATAAATCGTGATTAAGATACATTATATCCCATATTTATATCCAATAGGCAAACAATTTAATAAACCCACCATCAATAAATATATTTAAAATTAAAATACAATTTATTTTAGGTTATTTTTTGAAAAAACGTATGTTTAAATGTATGTAAACTATAAATTATTATATATATTATATTTTACAACTATCAATATGATAAGAAATGTACAAATAATAATTACTTAATAATCCTATTTTTTTTCATACATTTTTTTTTTAAAAAAGTTGTTAATTTTAGATTGTGAACATTCGAAGTATAATACATATGTTAAGTAATTTTCTCTTAAGCTTATGTGGATTTTAATAAAAAATTAACTATAACTTTTATAAAAATAATATTTTATTTCGTTTATATTACCTATAGCATTTAATAAAATTATTTTCGCGAATAAAAAATTTTCTTAGGTAGATAAATTATAATATTATATGGTTATAATCATATATGGTCATAAACATTTTTACATTATATGTCACGTAAAATATAATATGTTTAAAAATATATTTTTGCACAACGGCGTAGTACATAATGTGCTACGTAGCTCGTAAACTAACATATAAAGTTATGCACTTAAATTACACCGCATAAGTCATAAGTGTATATAAATTTGTTATTTTGCACCAGCTATCAACATGATTTTTGTAGTTATTATTTTAATTATTTAAAAATGATTGATGAATATTTTGTGTCACTTGTTGTTGAACGAATACCAAGTATATATTATCTTGTAGTATAATATTATTATGTTCGTAACAAGGAAGATTTGTTTGAAAAAATATATAGTCGTATAAAACAGTGTATGCAAAATGTACTACCTTAACTTTTTGCATGTTAATACAACCGGGATGACTTGATAGTTACATAAGTACGACTAATTTCAATATTGTGTTATTTATAAATAAAGACTCGTTATGGGTTTCTATATAATTTGAAAAATTGTTTGAATAGTTTATGAATTTAGACGTTTAATACAATTTAATTACCTCTCGCCTCCTTGGAAATATGAGTGCAACGGTTTAGGTAACGATGGCACAACAGACCGTTTCGATCTCCGGACTCCCATATAGTTAGCCACATAGTCGGTGAGCACCTCTCCAGCCCGTCTGCCCATACTCCTGGCTATTGTTGGGAACGCTCCAAACGGATTCTGGTTGTCGGTCAGTCCCAAAGCATCGAAATTGACTGAGTTACATAAAGACAAAAACACATGCACATTTACTTATTATCAATTATATTAGTATTATGGTGAAAAATCATATTATTGCATATTACTAACGCGCGTCTATGTGTCATCTGGCTTTCTTCTTTTATTTTTAATTTTCGTCGTTATTACAACTTACGATAATGAATGGATGTAACGGACAATAAAATATGTTATTCTATATCATATAAATTTATGGATTCATATTAACTTGGGACTTTTACAAAATATTTGATCAAGATGGCAATTAATTTGTTGTATTCGTGAATAGGTAGAGTTGATTTGATTATAACTTATTAAGCAGCAAACTCATTAGATAAATTAACAACTTAACTAGTTTTAGTATCCATCCATTCCGAAAACTAAGTAAATTTTAATTAATATAAAATAAAAATCAGTTAAATAAAATGTAAAAAAAATATATTAGATTTTATATTTAATCACGTTCAAATTAAAATAAATAATAAATACGTGAATAACTTCAGTCGTATCATTATGATATATGTTTCCAAAACTGATTAATTATTACATAAAATATTAAATAAATGTATTTATTAAGTTTTTTCAGTCAAGTTAATATATTTCTTCAACTTTAAATTTAAGATAATTCAAAAAATGTTCTAATACACAACGTTCTCGTGTTGTATTGACTTGGTGTTCATAATACATTTTTATTAATTTTTTGCATTCACCCTGTATTTGTACGTTTATATACCATCTCGACATTAATTATTGTGTAAATGGGACCAGTAACGAGTTCAAGTGCATTAAAATTGGTCTATAAATTATGCACGCGTAACGTGCACAATCACGAATTTAATAATCATTCAATGTTCTATGTTGAGTGGTTTATTTAAAGATCAGAGCTCCGATGAGAATTAATTCGTGTGACCGTCTAAAAAGGCGATAATGAACTTAGACCGTTAAAGTAAAAATTGATTTTTGTGTAGACTAATCTCATATTTTATCATTAATTTGGAATTTGGTAAGAACTTATTGTGCTAATGTGTATGTATTTAATTCTAATCGTAACATATTTATATGTACATATGTGTATGGATGTAGTCAATACTCATATACACACGAGTATACTATCTAAACAAGGCATCGAGATGGATAAGCAATACAATAATAATAGTATTGTTTATCTATCTCGATGAAACAAGGTTTTCATTTTATTTTTATGTTAAGATAACTCATATTATTGATTATAAATATTCGAATAAAAACAAAATATTTTAAGTATAAAAAGAAACGATAGCTACAATATTATAAGGAACTAATATTTTTAATAAATTTTATTATATTTTATTTTATTGGTGTATAAAGGCGGATATGTATAGAATGTATAGAAGTATTGATATTCAATGAAATCATAACTGAATTAAATGATATATTTAAGATACAAGAAAACAAAAAAAATATATAATATACTAGATTAATAATTAGTATTTAAATGTTGAAAGATATATGTATAAACAATACTTAGTAATCGAATGCGATAAATGTTTGATTTGTATTCTTAAGCGCAAAAAACATTTTTATTTGATTATAAAAAACTTATTCGCATATGTAATTGGACAAAAATATTATGATTGAAATAGTACTTATGTCATATTAAGCGTTTGCTTTTGGATTAAAATTTGGTGTTTTGTTCGGGAGAATTTATTATATCACATGTATACACGGTATATATATATATATATAGACAAGCATTACATTAAATATTTATTATTCGTTTTAGCAAAAGTTCCATTATTCGTTGAACAATAGAAGAAATATTTTTATCTACCAACCTATGTGTTTGTATATTTTATATACTTTTTACTCGCATTGGTGAAATAAGATTTTCTATCTTATTATACTGTATTTTCATGTACACATGTAGTGTTATAATTTGATACATACATACTATTACTATTTAATATACACTATAAGAATAATCTAAACATTCAGCAGCAAAAATTATTACAAGGTAATAATTACCAGAAAATATAAACTCAAACTCACTCGTGAATGGCAAGCTGATTGACATGTTGGACTTGAATCCATCTGGTGGGTACCTGACGAACGGAAGGGACAACGATGGTGTTATGGTGAGACCGGTACCGGGCGGTAAGGCCAATCGGCCGTCAGTAGTGATCCAAAGCAGTCGTTTCTGTCGCGAGTGAGGTGCGTCCTTCGGCTGCGTTTGTAATTTCTCATCGTTATCATCGTAAGTTTTGGCACAGTAACATTCGAACCACATCAGGAGTAACAACAGCATGGCCCACAAAGGTGCACCATTTAACTTTCTCATTCCTACGTGAAAATAAAACGACCGTAAAACGGTATTATTATATGATTGAGAAATCGACGTTTCTCACGGGGATTAATCGGAGTGACGAATTTATTTTCGATTTCGAAAACCGTTATCGTTGTGCAATATTATTCAACATGTATATTGTGGGATAACAGAGACGGTTGTTTCGGAGCGCAAATATTTTTTTGACAAATAGTAGATGATGACAAAGCTTAATGGTGCTATAAGACATAACTACAATCTATTTGAATAAAAAGTTTGTGATTTCACTGATCACAACATTGTAATAGTGACAAAGAGTATGACTTCTAGTGAAAAAAATAAATATAGTACCTTGTGACGCTTTAAAGCTTAGTTATACTATTCTAGGCATCCAAAACATTCAATCTGTTGATACACGCAGTAATAATTCGCATTGTAATATAGCTAATAATAATGCATTTCAATAATAATATTGATGGTGTTCAATATTATGATAACTTTTTTTTTTAAAAGTCCAATGAAATTAAAAACAAATAGCGAAACGACAGGTATTTACGTAAAACTTAAACGAAAAACACCATAAACATAAAAATACGTCACTAGTTAAAAATTTGTTTTTATTACATAAACAAAGTCTAATACTTAATATTTAAACTTGTGATAGAAGCAAAACTTTTTCTACGGCTTTCTTTATATCAATATCATGTTCAATATATTTTAATGTAAAATAAAGCATAAACTCAAGTGCATTTTATATTTTTTTAATGATAATCAATGATTTAAAAGGTACCACGAAAATATCTATACCCTAACTCATTATAAAGATTTATTCTCTATACATATTTTAATTGTATATAAATATAATTATTAAATACAAATAAATTGATAAGCAATCAATAAGGTATAGTATAATAAATAAACACGCTTTTGGAATATATACTCCAAAATAAGGAAGCTAAGAAAATGAATTATTGTGAGGACACGCTATCTACATGTATACTGTACGAAATTACTACCAATTATTCGAATGTTCATATAAAATACGTGTCGTATCTATGTAACATTCTTGGTATAAAATTATACAAGATATCTTCGTTCATAGTATATCATAGATTTAGTTTTACAGACTGTTGTTAGTATAATTATCAACTTATACTATAAAGCGGTGTGTAAACGTACGCTCTTTTTTTTTTTTTTTTAGCTTAATTTGCTTTTTATTTAAAAAATAAACATTACAACAAAGCAATTACCTAAAGTACGCGTCTTATTATGCACAAATTGGTATTTAATTTATTGTTTGGTATAAAAGGTAAGTAAAACAAAGATTTTAAATTGAATATAAAATATGATTTACTTACACATTTAAATGTTTATTTATTTTTATTTTATTTTAACAGATTAATGGGCTTAATAATAATTATTAAGGTCTCTCATATTATACTATAATACATGCACTTCTACGCATGTATTATTATTATTGTTACCGTGAAGTATTATTGTAACAACACAGACATATATATCGCCAATAAAAGTCGTATGATTATTGAATATTTATTACATAGCTTATCATTTAGAATATCGGTATCATAATCGAAATATTTTTATCACAGTACATCATGTAATTCAAATATCGTTATCATGGTACCCGTCATTATTATCTACACTCAAAATCAAAAGTTTCATATAAAATATACAGTACATTTCAATATATATTTTCAAATAAAAGCAATCGTTTTTCTTAAACAGTATAACCTAATTGAATTAATTATTGATTTTGATTTTTAATTTGTAGTTGATTTATATAGTTAAAAATTAATTAAGTGCTATCGTTTTTATGCTAGAAAATGAACATGCAATTAATGTCGGAATATATTACTTTATTCCGTTTCGAATGTTACTAATTTTAGTAATTAAGTACTTATAACTTTACTTATATCGTTTTTACTTTATTATAATATAATAATGCACTCTATCTAATTCTTCATAGATATCGATATAGAATAAACCTAAAAAAAAAAAAAATGTTACTGGCTAGCACTTATCACTGTATCATTGTGTATAAGATTATTGTGTATCAATTAACATTAACATTAAAATATAATATTTATGAAAAACAAAACATTTAAAGTATTCAATACGTTTACAAAAGTTTTTAAAAAAATTTACTAACACAAGAATTATTGACAGTATCGTTATAAAATATTTTCTAATGTTAGCTTGTTAATATTTTAATTAGCAATTTATCTTGAGCTTTTAATAATACGTGAAGTATCTAGGTACTTCACAAAGTCACGAGAAGGTACATTAAAGAAATGTTTTTACGGGTGAGAGTATATGTAAAACATTTGATAATTGAGTTTACTTATGTTGTTTAATTTTAAATTTTATTAATTGTTATTGATAATGAAAAGTAATTCTCAGTTTTTTTTTTTTTTTTTTTGAAACATTTTAGCTATACAATATACTTCAACAGTTATAAAAATAACAGTACAATTAAGTTATTCACAGTTATTATAAGTTATTTAAAAAAAAAAAAAAAAAAAGAAATTATTTAGGACATATTATTATGAATAAGTATTTGATTTTTTGAATAATTTGATTTTTTTTTTTCATTTTAAGATACTTACATTTCAAATTTTCATATTTACAATATTACTGCTCCTTAGTATTTAAAGATTAATAGAATAAATTAGATTAAATATTTATAAAATATTTACTATAAATATAGTTAATACTTTAATTGGTACGAGCTGCATTTTTTATAATATAATCGTCGTTAATTGATTTTCAATTATCACTTATAAAATATTTTGTATTTATAAAAAATAAATTATATTTAAATAAAATTCAATTTCCATAAATTTAATCTTTCGAAAAAAAATCAAAACTACTACTTATTTACCAATCGTTGTGTCTAAAATTCTCGAGTGTCCAAGTGGAGAAATAATATGACATAATAATATATATTATTATGAACGACACGGGTAATTTAATGTCCCGAGCTGGTTTTGTAGATACATCTTCTTCGACATCGTTATCTGATAGTGAAAAAGTATAAGACTAGTATCCATTCACTTGCGTGTGTTGTAGGTTTAGTATACGCGATTCTATACTAATATCTTACCGGTAAAACCAAAACATAAAAATCATAAATCGTTTTTTCATATTAATTCATTATATTAGATGGGGAGTTTTTTTTTTTTTTTTTTACGTCGGAGAAAGTTAATACATTTAAAAAAAAAACGTAATACGTACTCTGGGTCAAAAAAAAAAAAAAAAATAAAAAAAATAACTACATTCTTTTGGGGATTCTATCGATTTATGAATTTCAAAGCGACCGACGATGGTCAGCCGCCGCCGTGTGCTATCGCGACTACATATAGGTATTACATATTATTATGTTGTCCTGTGAGTAAAAAATTAAACCGTTAAATGCTAATCATGTGTATGTGGATTTACATAGAAGGTTTAAGGTCGAATCACACCACGGCCGAATATATATACATTTATCAAACATATATGTGTGTGTGTGTGTGTGTTTATATATATATATATACATAAATTAGGTACACACGCACGTGCACACATACACATCTTATACGAGTGTACACGTAATGTTGTACGTCGAACCGGGAAACAAATGACAGTTTTTAACAAGGTGTTCACGAGGCCATACACGGAGTACGCGAGAGCACAGATCTGATTTCGATCGTTGTGCCACACACTTATGTGTTATATATACATTATGTGTATATCATTTACATACTATGCATACATTATATTGTACATCGTACAGCACGTGTAACCGCTTTTCGAAACGTATCCGATGTATTATGTAATCCCGCTGCGCCGCGGTGAATTTCTCCCGCGACGACAAGACCTGTTGCTGCACCATGACAGTCGTAGTGCATTCATACGTTTTGCGGTCAAGGACGACATTTCTTGCTGGCGTCCATTCCCTCCCCTTTGGTCGTTAAATATCGCTGCACTTAAGTGTAGCCAACGATTTCTATTCGATTTATATAAAAAAAAAATAACATTTACCAGCCGATTTGTGTTACCTTACGACGGAAACGAAACACTGTACAAATCGTGCACGACATTATTTTTCCGAGTCCGATATCGTCGCCTTTGTCGTTCGTCGTCTCCGTTTAACAGCCACATCGCGACGTGTGCGTATACGACATTTTAACGATATTTTATAACGGTAAACGAGAAATAGAAGAAAAAATAAGTAATCGGTTTGGGAACTGACAAACTCGCGAACACTATGCACATTCAAAGGTCTGTTCAATAAAACCCCTTTACACAACGAATTTTATTTTAGAATTCATGATATTTCTATGTAACGAAATAATATGAACAATAAAAATCCGATCAACACTCTCGCGTCGCCCTGCGAACGGCCTTGTGGACTAAATATTTTTTCAATTATCATTTGTTTCATGTTTGAGTGATAAACGAACATGTAAAACGATATATATATATATATATATATATATACGATATATTCACATCGAAACGCAGTTCACCATTATATATACATGTATAAAAGTTATACTATACATATGTATGGGTGTGTGTTTTCATTTAACAGATTATCAATATACTTCGAAAATGTCACTTATCGACTTTATTCCCCATAAAAATTAAAATTAAAAAACATAAGAATAATATTTAATTTCGTTAACCAAGCGTTTATATATTTATTTAATTTATTAAATAAATATATTTAAGTTATATAGTTTGAAAATTGAACAAGTAGGTATCATCAAATATTAGTACTTATTTCTGTTTTATATTCCTTTTCATAAAAAAAAAAAAATTAATTATATGTTTTGGTAACATTTGGAACCCAGTATCATAATTTAAAAACACTCTGGGAATTCGAAAATTACATGAATAGAGAGTAGACTGATAATGAAGTATATAAATTGAAAAAACAAGTAAAGAAAAAAAAATATCTAATATTAATAATTAACGAACAAAAGGTATTTTAAACGGTTCCAAATTTAAA